CAAAACTAAATCTAGGAATTTAATTTCCCAATTCATAATCAATATAATAAAATTCTTTTTAAACTGAGAGATATGTATTTTATTATGATTCAACCAATTTTTATAAATTTGATATGGAGTTGAAAAAATTCTAAGTTTTAGAAGCCGAGTCATTTAAAGTTTCTAACCTAAATCAGGAAATAAATTTTAACAAGATAAGCACTTTTTATGTATAATAATCAGGAAAAATAATTGATACTGAAAATATGATTATTTTAAACACTTAATAAGAGGATGATACTATATTCATTGGTTAAATTTATACAGATGATACATAATTACACATATTCTAATCAGTAAATGGAGTTTATTGGTATAAAAACTTACTAAATATGCCTTTTTAAGTATTAAATTTCACTTAAAGTTAAATTCTTTAAGATCTTTATTTTGAAGAAGAATAAAATTTAATAGCATTACATGACAGCAGTTGCTAATGTGTTTAGATTTATGATATTATAAAAAGCATTAAATTGGTCAGCTAAGTAAATTTTAATGCTAAGTTCGATTTAACAATCAAGTTAGTTGATTGGAATAATCTTAGTTTTATATACGTGAGTGGTTCAACTATTTATCTATATTATCAAAATAATAATAATAATATTATGAATGAATAAATTGGTTTACTAGACTCAAATATCATTGAATACTAATATTGTTTTGAACAGTAGATTTTTGTTGCTATGACTTCGTAATAAAATCTATATATAATTAAAGTAATTTTAACTTTAAGATTTTATTATTTTAAATTTCAATTAAATTAATTAGATTTAAGAAAAAGCTTCATTAAAAGTAGAAACGCCATTTTTTAAGATAAATGATTAGATTGTTTTATATCTTAAATTTGTTTTGAAATGTAGTGAAAACATATTAATAATTTATTCTCCTGTTGTTAAAATTATTAATTTACTTACTGCAAAAGATTAAGAACTATTTTAAAAGGTATTCAATTAATTTTTTATTTATTATTTAAAATTTATTTTTTTATTAAATTAAATATTAGTTTAATTAGCTATAATACCCAAACTATTCATAAAATATACCAATTGTTAATGTAAAAGAGTAGCTAATCATATGTCTATTTAGCATTTAAACAAACTATTTTTAAAGAAATGACCTTTAAGGATTCTTAGGATATTTTGATTATAGAGAAAATAATACAAATATCTACTATGATTTATAACAGAAAGCTTTTATAGGATTGACTGGAGTTACAAAAAAATTAACTATTATGACTATTCCAGGTGATTAAAATTTATTCACTTATTATACGGTCAACTCATTTTTACAAGAAGCAACATACTATTTTGAAGATAAAACAAGTATAATATTAATTGATACTACTCCTATTATATACTTATGTAACTATGTAACAAGAAACATAACAACATTTAATACAATTGTTCAAGATACATAAGGTATTTAGATGGATTAAAATAAAAATATCATTTTCTTGTATTCATACTAATTTATTTCTGCTTTGAAGTTTCCAGAAATGTAATTGATTGAGATGTTTTCATTACAATAATATAACCAAGCAAATATCTTAGCTATTTACATAAACTAGCTTATTTAAGTTTTAATAGTTTAAACAAATACAGTTTTTATAGCTTTTGATCTTACAGAAGTACTTTACTAATCAGAAATAAACTTATTATAGTATTAAAATGTTTAAAGTGTTTATCTAAATGAAGAATATTAAGTTTATTATAGTATTTCCAATCTCTCACTCAATTTATTTTATAAAGCTAAGCTTGTTGACTCATTGATATTCGAAATCTCCCAGTAGAATATTTATCCATATTTAACTGAGCCTATATTGATATCAGAAAATCAATTCATTTATTTTACATTTACTTATTTAAATATAATATAAGTAAACCTCTAATAGAATTCTTTAGAGTTAATATTTAGAATTTAATTACAAAGTACACCTGATAACTTTTTTTATGACTCAAGCTCAAATTAAATATTTTTACTGTACGAGTCAAGCTTTTAGTTAAATAGTTTAAATACCAAAATACTTAGTTAAGATGAGACATTATTAACTAATTTTTAATAAGGTGATATATCAAATGCGTTAATCTGTAGTAATTATATTATCCTTCCAAGTAATAACTATATATAAATATACAATTTTAAATCTAACTAGATAGAGAGTATTACTTTACCTAATGAAGGTAAAATAAAATTAGCTTTTAAATTATAGGTAAAGTAAATTAATTCATATGAAAATAATTGGTGGAAAATTCCTTTTGAAGACAATAAAAGATTTAACACATATGATTGGGTTAATGAGGAAAATATAACAAAAGATATTTTTATATTGCAAAAGTAAGGCAATTAAAATACATTATTAATTTTAGATTTACTTAAGATGGAATTCACTTACAAAAAAAATATAGATAATTGGTAAATAATGAATGTTGTAAATGATCCTATTTAATAACTCATTTATACTATTAGTAATGAGGCAACTACTAATATATTTAGCTATACTTTAGATTTTATTACTTCAATTAAAAATCCTTGCATGAAATAAGCAATTATTTCTTTCGATTAAAATTTTGTATATTCTGTTTGCCCAAATGATATTACTGTGTACAATAGAATAAGCTTCGAATAATAATTTCCTACATTAAATATAGGAATGACAGAAGCTAATAATTTAATAAATATGAATTATAATAACCATTTTATTATTATTTAAAAAAACAAATTATCCATAATATAACTGAAATATAATGACACATATTAAAATATTTATGAGTACGAAATGAAAAATATATTTTTATAAAGCTTTTAGCTAATCATAGATTCTAACAATCAAAGATATTCATTTTTATTGGTTTCGAATTACTAAAATATAACTTAAATTGTATTACCATTATCTACAAATAAATTTTGCTCGGTTTAAATTTAACAACAGAATAGAAAATCTGAAAATATTTATTCAAAAACTGTTATTAATGAGATAACTTAATCTATTTAATCAACTTAATAAATACTTACAGTAATAGAAATAGAATATCAAGATGGATAATCTATTGAATAAATTGACATTAATCTTAAAGACTAAAATAGAGATGAAACACACAAATTAAGCTTAAATTTATTTTCTAAATATGAAAATTAAATCAGTTGGATAAACAATATTCAATTTTCTAATCAATTTTTTAATTTATTTTTAAAATAAATGTCTCTATCTATAGAAACAGAAATAAATTTAAATTTAAATGGTACAATGGAAAATTTTTAAATGTTTAATGTTTCTTTAAATTTAAATGAATCACTAAATTTACAAAATTTTAAAAAGGTTTATTTATAATAAGTGTTCATTAAATTAGAAAATTTTAGCTAAATTTAGATTTCTAACTGCGAATTAGTTATCATAGATTAATTAATCTTGTAAAATATAGAAAGGCACGAAGATTTTATTATTGTTTTAAATAATAATACTAATGTTTTAATTAACAATGTTTATCTTTCTAATTCAAACTCAAGTAAAATTTTTTAGATAGGTTTAAGCCAAATGGTAAATATTTCAAATGTTAATGTTACAAATTGCTAATATTTATACAGTGTCTTTGAACTTTAGTAAATAAACGATCTTATAATTGTGAATACTTCAGTTTTTTAAATCTATTTTTCTACAATTTATTTTATATAAAGCACGATTATATCAACTATTTAATAAATTTAACTCTAATACTCAACAGATAATAGTGTTATTGAAATAAAAGAATAAAATATTAATTAAGTTTACCATCTAAGTGATTCTGCTATTTTAAAGGATATTAAGATATTTGATTGTGTAAACACAATATTTTCTTTTAAAACTAACAACTTTGAAGTTTCACAAATCAGTATTGATCTTCTTTAAGTTTCATAAACTATTTTCACTATTCAAGCTAGTTAAATTAATATTAGTAATTTAAATATTACAGATACAAAATATTTGTTTTCCAAATCTGATATTAGTTTTATAAATATAATAAGTTTTAATAACTCATAAATAGAAAATATCAATTAAAATAGCAATTAAATATAGTTCCTTTCTATGAATCAATAAAATAGTGAAGGATATGCTCTTATTTCTAAAGCTAAATTTATGAATTCTTCTATTCTTAATAATAATCCCTTAATCCTTTTTAATTAATTGTCTAATGTCAAGTTAATTAATGTACAAATAAAAGATGTAGTTTATATAAATAGCTAATATACTTCTATATTTACGATATAAGATTGCAATTTAGTTACTATTTCTGAGAGCCATTTTACAAACAACACAAATAGAAATGGTCCAGGAGGTGTTATTTATGCACTTGATAACATATAGATAATTATATAAAATTCCATTTTTTGGCTTAATACTTGTAAGTTATAAAATGGTGGAGCTATTAATATGATTAACAATTTTAGACAAGGAGTTTTAAAAATAAACTAAACTCAGCTTATAGATAATAAATCATATTATTCTTTAGGTGGTTCAATTTATCTTTAAAATAATAACTTGATCATGTAAAATTCAGTAATAGCTTCAAATTAAGCATAAATTGGAGGAGGAATATATTATGGTCAGGTTATGCCAGATTTTTTAATTGAACTGTTATAAGGCAATAAAAATAATAATACTTTTAAAGACAATCTAGCGTATATTTATGGATAGAATTTTGGTTCTACTTTAAGGAAAGTATCTATTAATTTAGAAAACATAAAAATTCCTAAAAATAGTTTAAAGTTATATGAAAATAATGTTATATTTATAAAAAAATTTAAAAGTGGAGATTAAATAAATTTTGAACAGATATAATTGCTTGACGAAGAAAATAATCCAATAAAATCTATAGATGTTAACTCAACTGATTTTTATTTATTAAATAGTGATGTTTAAATTTTAGTGCAATAAATAAGTGTTTCTGTATAATGGAATTAAGAAAATAAAGAAATACAATGTATTGGATAACTTTAAACAAAATAATTTACAAACGGGGGATTTAACTTAGATGTTCAGATTTTTTACAAACCTATTTCTGAGTTGGTATTAAAAATATAGAGTAATTCCTTTCCTTCACTAATAGATTCTAATGGAAATATTGTTGTAAATTAAGGTTAAATAGAATTAATATTGAAAATAGAATTAGAGTAGTGTTCAATAGGATAAATATTTAAATAATATGGTAGTTCAATAGCATGTGAAACATGCCCTGATGGTAAATATTCTTTAAGTTTAAATGATAAAGAGTGTAGATAATGTCCTGATTCAGCTATTTAATGCATAGGTTCTAATATCTAATTAAAAAATGAATATTGGAGAGAAAACGAAAATACTGATAATATTATCTACTGCAGTTTTAACCCTCAATCATGCTAACCATAGCTTTCTTCTTCTAAAGTAATTTTGGATCTTTTAAAATATTCAGTTTAAAATATATTATTTTTTTTCTTCAAATTTATTTTTAATAAAAATGCTATTATTGAAAATTAGTCTACCTCAAAATTATATTTATTTATATTTAAAATATATTAAAACAAATTAAATAAAGTTTTACTGTATTGAAGGACATAAAGGTCCGCTATGCTATTAGTGCGACACATATGGTGATATTTGGGGAAGTAGATATTCTTAAATTTATAACCGTGGAGAATGCTATAAATGCGAAGAAAATATTGATAAAATTGTACTTTATAATTTACTAATATACTTAATGATTTCTCTTTACATTATTATAATCCTAAGAAGAATTATAATGCAGCTAGAAGCTAAAGTTAAAGGATATTATTTAAATAAATTAGAAATTATTTATTTAGGGTCAACATGTAAGATATTATTCCATTTTAATAATTTTAAAATAATTTATTAAATAAAAAGTAAATTAATCTGATAGATCATAAATTATTTCGAAAATTCTCACCGATCATTTATAAATACTATCATTAGTATGCTCATTTACTACAAAAATGCCTGTTTTTTTTACTGTTCCTATTTAAATATCAGGAAATTCAGTTAGTGTGGCTAGTAAATCTATTGATTGTGTTTTTTCTAAATATCCAAATTTATAACCTTTGTGGCTATTCTAGTTTCTCTGGTCTTTTACTTTACCAGGAGGAATACTTATTTTTTACTTATTTTAAGGATTTATTTTAAAGCGATTACAAATAGATTTATTTATCAGGTACTTATAAACTGCAGCTATTTTTATTTATTTTTACTTTTACCCTATGATAATAACTCTTGCTATTAGATCTTTTAATTGTATAACAATAGGAGATAAAAAATATTTAGATCTAGATTTTGGAATTGAATGCTATGATAAAGATTAGCATAAGCCGTACCTATTTTTATTTACCATTCCTGTTATTTTTATATGTGGCTTTTTAATACCTTTATTACTATTCTACAAAATTTACAATGCTAAATCCAAAAAAAAGTCAATGATTAAATAAATAAAATATTCTTTCTTATTTGCTGGCTATAAAAAACAATATTATTATTGGGAATTTTGGAAATTGTTATATAAAACAGGTTTGATTTTAATTTCTGTTTTATTATAGCAAAACATCTAATTAAAGGTAAAATTATATTTTTAATATAGTTTTAAAATAAAAAATTTAATAAAATATTTCAAATTTTAGCTATTAAGTTAAGAAAATTGTATTTTTTGACAAATTAATTATCAATTTTTAACGAGTTTATTTAAAATATTAAAAAAAATAAATATATTACTTTATATTTTCAAATTAATTTTATTAATTAATTTCCTAAAAATAATTCATTAAAAAATCTATATTAATTCTACCTATAAAAAAATAATAGGTTACTATTACGAATCTTTGTTTGATGATCAAATTTTTTTTATTATTTAAATCAAAACCATATTTAAACGAATATTTTAATAGTTTATAACAAGTATCTACTCTAATATGTACAGTATCGATAAATCTTTGTATGATACAGATTGTAGGTGATTAAAATGACTTATTATATTAAACATTTTGGATAGCTGCGACTATGCTTCTTAACTTTTTTTTTATAGCTACTTTAATAATAGGGTTGTTAAGACTAAAAATTTCTAATCAATAGTAGGAAAGAACATCTTTCTAAAATTTAATATTTAAACTTAAAACAAAATATCCTTAATTATTTTATGTGGAAATATAAAATAATTAAAAGGTAAGTTCTTTGCTCAAATTTAAAAAAGTAAGACAAAAAATAAAATAATTCATGAAATCATTTTAAAAAAATGATATATTATTCTCATAGCATTAGAAATTTAAATTAGATTTAAAAAATAATTAGGACTCTTATACTTCCCTAACTTCACCCTAAGAACGTTTAATAACTTCGCCTAAAATGAATGATGAAAAAGTATAAACTCTTAATAAAAATAACTCTATTATAAGAATGAAAAATAAATGGTCTTACTACACAAGAAATTCTAAATAAAACTCAATATGTAATTTAATTTTCTTTCTTAAGTAAAGATAAAATTATTATTTTAATTTAAAAAATAGCCATAAAAGATAGAACATTCGATAAGCAAAACTTATTTAATAGTAATACAAGGGATAGTATTTTTTAAGAAACTGAAAGTATATAAAATAATCAATATAATAGCAGCAATAAATTTTAAATATAGCTCACTCTAGATAAAAGTTGAATATTAAAATCTAATTGGTTTAATTTCCATTAATTTTATTTAAATAAAGTCTTGTTTGATATATTTATTTATATAAATTGAAATTTAAAGCTTGTATAACTATTTAATATATATTGTATTTGTTGTATTACTTAAATATTTTTTCTAATATTAGCACACTTAAATTAAAAGAATAAATCAATAATTTAAATAGGGTAATACCCTTAATTTAATTAAAACGGGTAGTGTATTTATTAGGGTACATGTATTGATAAACGGGTAGTAATATCTGTGCCAATCTCTGAAAACACACTCAATTCAAACATATTTTAGATGAGCGTCATAGATTTTTTAATATTTGTAAAAATAAGGGGGCGGATTTAAAATAATAATTTATAATATTTTTAAGAATTAACTTAATGTTGCTAAGTAAATTATCAATATTTTTATGTTAGATTTCGGTAATTCTAACATAGATCCTAACGTTATTTTGGATAATTCTAGGAATGACATAGAGTTATTCTTGATTAACAATAATATTTTAGTAGGTCTTCAAAGCTTACAAAACATAACGTCCATTAGGACAAATTTTATAGATTTCCTTTATTGATAAACAATTTGCAATGGTATTTTCATCTTGTCATTTATTCTGGTAATAAAGTAGACATCATTTTCTAAATTTTCTCTTATGAAAAGGTTTTCCAACTATTTATTTTAAACCAAAAAAATAATTGTAGATGATAAATTATTAAGTGACTATTTCTATCAGCAAATTGCTAAATCTGATAGCATTTCAAAAAGTGGTAGTTTTTCAAGCTTGCTAAATCACTAAGTATCTTTTAAATTTTTATAAAATGTTGACTGTTTTAAGCTATCTTGATTGTTTGCTTTAAAAATAAGTTATACTTTACCTTGTTTTTAAGCTACTATTGGATTTCAATGTTATCTAAATATTTTTAAAAGAAGAAGGTTAGAAAAATGTTTTAGTAAACAGCAAAATAATTAAAAAATAACTCAAAATAAATTCCGAATTTCTTATGATCAGTCATTTATGTAATCACTTTTAATTGCTTGGTGTTTGAGTTTGTTTACAAAAGCTTTTTGTTATTTCTTACTTCATTATAAATTGTTTTTTTCTTTTTATTATTATTATTATTACTAAGATTGAAAATTTTGATTGATTGATTTTTTGCTTTTTTTTGCTTTAAAAAGCTTTGCCTGTAAAAAGAGATAAAAACACCAATCATAACCTTTGTTAATATATGCATATACTTAAACCCTTTGCACTTTTCATTCATAGTTATAGCTGTGATATCAAATAAAATTTATTATATTACATTAAAGCATAAATATATGATTAATTTGATTTAATCTATTAATAGATCGTTCTCCTACTTTCAAATAAATAAAAATTCTTTTCATTTTAATGAAAGATCACTCTTACCCGAAAGTTCCTTTATATTTATATCAATAATTTGATTCATTAAAGTCTCCCTATCTTTATTAAAAATATAGATGATCCTAACTTGAATGTGAGTTTTATTTAAATATTAAAATTTTAATTTTATTTAATTATTTTACATTTAAGTTAAAACGGCATTTATAGTTGTTAAATATTTTACGAATTAATTTGATTATTTTTTTTCAAACTTAATTCTACTTTTCAAAAATAATAAAAAATATTCTATTTAAAAAATTTAAATATATTATAAAATAAATGAAATGAAGGGGGTGAATATCTTATTTGATACGTTGGATTTGAGACTAGTGTAAAATATGATATATAAAAATACATGAAAAAAAAAAACAATGATTACTTTATTCAAAACATCTGAATTTTTAAATTAATTTATTAGTAATCTTTATATTAAACTTAAAAATACCTTTTTAATTCTATAAAACATATTAAAAAAGAATAACAACTATTCTCTGATATCAGCCATCAGATGATTAATATTATATAATATAAATTATTTTAAATAAATTATTTTTTATTATTTTAGAACAAAATGTCTTCAAACCTAAAATAATCTTCTTAAGCTAAGACTTTATTAAACAGAATTTCCCCTCTCTTAAAAATCGTCCACTATTAATATAATAAAACACAGGCGGTGATTATTGAAATGATAAATTTTTATTTAAATTGATTAAATTATTGCTGTTGTATTGTATAACATGAGTATTATGTAGATAAGGCTATTGAGATTAGCACATTATTAATTTAAATAAAATTAATTACTTTTTGAATGCAATTAATTATGAAGAAAAAAATATAAAACAACTGTAAAATTTAAAAGAATGTATTACAAGATAATTAGCATAATTTTCTTGTGAACAATCAAAATATGTTTTTGTAATATTTGTAAGCCAAATTAAATTTACTCTTTGATAGCTTAATCTTGCCTTTAGTGTTCAGATTCATGCAACACCTGCTTTAATACTAGCGAATCTGCATGTATTACTTGTGGTGATGACCTATTTAAGAGCTCTAATATAGTTCTACTTTGTACAAAAATGTTCAAAAAATGAATTTTTAAATGAAAATTTTGAATGTGTGAAATGCTAAATCTATGGATGTGTTAAATGTGATGCAAACTAAATATGTGATCAATGCGACTAAAACTTTAAGTTGGATAAAGCTAATAATCAGTGCGTTTTAATGAATAAGGTTTGTCCAATTTTAACAAACTTTTTATTGGGACCATCATAACTCAAATAATGCAATAATGAATGTCTATTAAGTTTTTATTAGAACATGGAAGCACAAATTTTAACTGTAAAATGTATTTAAATTGAAGAAAGCTAAAAACTTTATTTCAGTTAGAGGATTATATAAATAAAACCAATTAACGAGGATCAATATTTAGTTGTAGGAAATGCTTGCACTTTTGCTCTATTAGATAATAACTGGAAGGTGATTAACATATAAATCCTTTAAAATATAACAGACTATGATTAAATACATACATACGATGGAGATGAAATTACTAAAGAAAGTTTTGTTATTGGAAATTAAGTAGGATGTCTTGCAGGTAGCAAATTATTGGTGATGAATTTTTAAACATTTTAAATAATATTTGAGAGTAAAACAAATTTTTATAAAATTGTTTTTTATGTAGATTAAAAAAACTAAATTATTTTTCTAAAATCATTTTACCTGGATACTTTTTTTTTGTATTATGTTATTAACAAGAGATTAAGCTAATATCAAATAGGATATTCCTCAATTACTTTAATTTTTTAAATTCAAAGCAATAATACTAAAACTTATTTAATATAAAATAAAGACTTATAGCTTTAATTAAATTTCAATATAATAGCTATTCTAGGATAAATATTTCTAGAGTAGGAAATATATGTTTAATAGAAAAAATTTAGATTACTTCATCAAAAATTAAATCTTTGATTAAATACTTTTTATTTTTTTGGTTTATTCAGGTTCGAAACCTAATTATTTCGATACCTTTTTTTATTATATTTTAATTTTTTTTAATTTATAAAATAATATTTATTACTCTACTAAATATATATACCTTAATTTAAATATAATTATTAAAGATTAGCAATATAATAAATTCATATAACTTATAGCGCTTCTAAGAAAAAAATCAAAAATTTCTACTGAAAACTCTTTTACACATACAACATAATTTACCCCACTTATTTTTATGTGATTTGTTAGATCCATAAATATCACCTAGCAATTTTAGATAAATATACAAACAAAATCATTTTTTTTTTAATAAAAAAACTATAAAATAAATAGTTTTTTATCAGAGTAATATTTTGTGATATCAAGCTTATCCTATAAAGACTATTATATTTCTAAAAATATTCTAGTTATTTATAGAGTAAGCAACCAAAATATAATTAGAAACTAGAAAACTAATGATTACCTTTGCTATAAAGCTATTCACAGTTTATACATTTATTAATAATAATAATAATAAACTTAACTTCAAAATTTATTTGTTTGTACTTTGCTTAACTTATTTAAATGATGACTTAACTTTATTGCTATTCATAGCTTATTTTTTCTGTAGCTAACTAACTACTTCTAAAATTAAAATAAAAAATAAATAAATAAATTATTTTATAATTTTTATATTATTTTAATTTAATATGTTATTTTGTTTACTTTTTAATTTTAAATGAATATTTGATATTTTAATTTTATTTAATAAAAATAAAAAATAATTTTTAAATTAGTTAATAATGTTTTTTATTCCTATACTTATTTTATTTAATTATATATTCATTGATTTTTTTATAAAGAAATAAAAAATACTATAATTTTATTCATAATTAATTTTTAAATTCATTATTTCTTATATAACTTAAATTATATTACCCTTATCTACAATTAAATTATGCTCTATTTAAATTTGATAACAGAAAAAAACATCTGAAAATATTTATTCAAAAACAATTATTAATGAGATAACTTAATCTATTTAATCTACTTAATAAATATTTTCAAAAATAGAAATAGAATATCAAAATAGATAGTCTATGAATAAATAGACTTTAATTTTCAAGACTAAAATAGAAATGAAACACACAAATAAAGGTTATTATCTAAATATGAAATTAAATCAAATGGGTAAATGATATTCAATTTTCCAAACAAGTTTTTAATTTATTTTTAAAATAAATGTCTCTATCAAATTTAAATGGTACAATGGAAATTTTTAAATGCTGAATGTTTCTTTAAATTTTAATGGATCACTAAATTTACAAAAATTTAAAAAGGTTTATCTATAATAAATATTCATTAAATTAGCAAGTTTTAGCTAAATTTAAATTTCTAACTGTGAATCAGTTATCATAGATTAATTATTCTTGCAAAATATAGAAAGGAATGAAGGTTTTATATTGGTTTAAATAACAATACTAACATTTTAATTAAGAATGAAGAATGTTTATCCTTTTAATCAGACAAAAGTAATATTTTAAGATAGATTAAATTCAAATGGTAAATATCTCAAATGTTAACATTAATATAGTATCTTTGAACTATGGTAAATAAACGATCTTAAAATTGTGAATACTTGAATAGTTTTAAACGCTTATTCTACAATTTATTTTATATAGAGCATGATTATCAAATATTTTAAAAATTTAACTCTAATACTCAATAAATAATATAATAATTTAGATGCAATGTTTTCATTTAAAATTAACAACTTTGAAGTTGCTCAAATAAGTATTGATATTAGCAATCCATTAATCATAATGTGAAGTTAAAAAATGTACTAATAAAAGATGTAGTTAATATAAATAGCTAATATACTTCTATATTAATGAATAAAAGATTGCTATTTAGTTACTATTTCCGATAGTCATTTTACAAATAATACAAATAGTAATGGTCTAGGAGGTGTTATTTACGCACTTTATAGCATGTAGATAATAATATAAATTCCATTTTTTGGTTTAATACTAGTAAGTTATAAAATGGTGGAGCTATTTATATGATTAACACTATTAGACAAGGAGTTTTATAAATAAGCTAATCTTAGCTAATAGAAAATAAATCAGATTATTCTTCTGATGCAATTTATCTCTATAATAATAACTTGATCATGTAAAATTCAGTTATAGCTTCAAATTAAGCATAAATTGGAGGAGGATTATAGTTTATGCCAGATTTTTCAATTGATCTGTAATAAGGCAATAAAAATAATAATAATTTTAAAGACAATCTAGTATATATTTATGGATAGAATTTTGGTTCTACTTTAAGGAAAGTATTTATTAATTTAGAAAATATATAAATACCTAAAAATAGTTTAAAGTTATATACTTAAATTCTCCTCATTTTTTACAAGCCCAGCCATTTAATACTTAAAGAATTTAAAATGAAAAAATAAAAACATTTAATTGATTAAAAAATATTCTGGAATTGTTCTATTAATCAAAAAAATAAAAGGTTAATTTGAAAAGGGAGGTTTCCCTTTCAAATTTGGTAAAAAATGAAAATTCTTTGATATTACATATAATAAATTAGTGATAATTTTAACTGTAAAAATTTAGATTTTTTAAATTTTTCGAGGTACATATATCTACAACAATATCTATCATTTTATTATTATTAAAATTATTCACCAAAATAATATAAACTAATATGATAATTATAGAGTAATTATTTTTTAAAAGTTTTGCATTATTTTTTTTCAAATATTCTTATTAAAAATTTTAAAAATAAATAAATTCATGTTTTTAATAAAAAATTTAATTCATGAATTCTATAAGAAATTCTGGTCAAAACTTAATTTTATGGCAGTACCTTTCTATCTTAATAAAATGATAAATATGTCCTATCTGAAATTTTGAAAAGGATCTGCCTATTTATATTTATTGACATATATTGTCCTATCTTAATTTAAATACAGATGTCAATATAATTAGATAGGACACAATGTCAGCATTTTGAGGTAGGATAATTTTATTTGATAGGAATAAGATGAAGATATTTTATTTTTATCAACACCTATTTTATATCAATTATTTAATTTTTCTATTAAAGACACTGTGAGAGCATTTTGTTAGAGCTCATTAAAAATTCAAAAATAAAGGAATTACAAATTTAGTTTAGGATCAAATTAATAAACTTTCGAATTTAATTAGATATGCAGAATATCTAAGATTAAATTAATAATTATATTCAGGATAAATTAATAGAGACAGAGGAAAGTTTAAAAATATATGAAGAAATCTAAAGAATAATAGAACTTAGATATGGCTGACTAATATATTGATGAGAGTTTTTCTAAAATGTCCTCAAAAAAAATGGCTAAATTCATTAAGAAAATGAGAAGATATAAATGGAATTAGAAGATAATCAGTTAATTAAGTTAAATTATTTAAAGATATCTAAATTATGGTTTAATATTTGTTTTTAAATAATAGAAAACTCTTCTCAAAAAAGAAAGAGGAACATAGAACTGAAGTAAGAAAAAATGTGCTTTAAGATGATTTTTCTATGAAGAGACTCTCTTTAATAAATGCATTTTCTGAATATGATAGAGTATTCGATGATTAAAAAGCAAAAAATGTTGAAGATATGGAGACCTTTGATAATGATAAAAAAGAAGATGAAATAGGTTAAGTATAAAGATATTTTATAATGGAGTGAAACAAAAATTTAAAAGATAATAAGAGAAATGAATATTTAAGATGATGATTAGAAAGATGCAATATACATTTCTCTAAACATGAATATTCTTTAAACTCCCTTATGTTATAAATGCAAAAACAAATGTAGATTGGCAAATGTTCATCCCACATAAACAACTATTGCTGGAGATGCTATTCTCCTCATTGATAGTATAGAAGATAAAATCTCTATAAAGAAAATAAGATACTTAATACATCCTAGCTAAATATTTCTACTTTGTTCAAAATGTTCCTCTTGCATCTTCCAATCTAGGATTAATATATCACAATTACTAATAATCTTGGCATTTCTAAGTACAATCTCATTAAACTAAATTAAACTAAGAAAGATATGGGGTTAAGCATTAAAAAATTATTATATTAAATATTTTTCAAAATTGTAATTATTAAGATGGCCACGTAGTTGAATTTGATGAGAGCATATTCTCTCGCAAATACAACAGAGGTAGGCTTTTAAGGAGGTAGTATAGGGTTATTGGTATGACCGAAAGAAATAGTAAAGAAAATAAAAACTGTTTTAATACCAATTTTAGCAAAGAATAAAGAAACTATTATTCCTCTAATACAGCAGTTTGTATCTAAAAACTGTAAATTTATCTGTACTGCTAAATGGCGCACTTATTCTTCATTAAAATAGAATAGCTATAAGCATTATACAGTTAATCAATCCAAAAACATTGTAGAGAATAAAAAATAAGAATAATAATAATACAATAAAAGATAAAAAAATAAAAATTATAATAGAGAAAAAAATTATAAAAAAGTGTTGGGATAATATATCCGCACTTAAACAATTGAAAATAGGATGAAACACCTAAAAGATAGACTGTGTAGACTTAAAGGGAAGCGCAATAATTATCTCTCTGACATATATTAGTGTTTATTTTATTTACAATACAAAAGTAGTATTATGAAAAAGACAATTAACCAATTATCTAAATGCTAATGATAGTTGATTATTTATTTTATATTTTGATATATAATGTAATCTATTTAAAATATTTATCAAATTGACTTTATCTCATTTTATTTATTCAAGATTTTTTAAAAATGATCAAATTTTTCAAAATAAGGAAGGAACATAAAAACAGATCTGTCAATAAAATTAGATTGGACAAAATGTAAATTTATTTAGATTGGAGAATCCTGTAAAAAATTTTAGATAGGCCATATATTTCATTTTATTTAGATATGACAGTAATGTTAGTTAATTAAAGTTTAACCGAAACTCTTAAAAAAAGTTCACTAGCTAATAAAAATTTGACTAATTTTTGAAGTAAGAAATTTGTATTTGGAAAAGTAAAAAATCCATCCTATTCTTTATTATTAATCAAATAATTACTTTTCTATTTTATGAAATTCACCTATCATAATTTTATTATGTTGATTTCGATTAATATATCTATCTACATCATTTGATTTCTCTAAATTTATTTATATTAAATGACTTTTTATAACTATACCCATAATTTAATTTACATATCTGGAAAAAGTTAAATTAATTTGAAATTCCATATTATATTGAGGAAATCTTTTAAAAATAACAAATAAGGAATTTTATAAGAATTGAAGAATATACCAATTAGAAACATCCGCTTTCAAGTAGTCGTATTAAAATCTAAGTAATTTCCTTTTATATCAAAGTTAGCAAGTTAATATTTAAAAAAAATTTTTAATATCATAGGTATAATTAGGATAATTAATATCTAGATTTAATATTTTTTGTCATAAAAGTTAAAATTTTTTAAAACCTTCTGCAGCAGCAGAACTTTTTTTTTGGTATTTTTATTTTTTTTGCAAAATTTTTTAGTGAATTTTATTAAATGATTGAAAATGAATTTTTCTTGAAATATTTTCACCAACTAATACAAGTAGAATTATAATTTTAGCTTTCTTCAATTAAATAATTTTTGAAGCTTAACTTTTTCTCATAATCATAGCAGAGGACGAATATTCTTTTTAAGTAACTCACATTATTATAGTAATCAACTACCAATTTTTATACTGTTTTTATATTTTTTAAATTAATTTATTAGTAATTTTTCTATTAAACTATAATATACCTTTTTAATTCTATAAAAAAATTATTAAAAATTGGAAAATAACTATTCTAAGATATCAGCAATCAGATGCTTAATATTAAATAATATAAATCATCTTTATGAGTATTAATATTTTTTATAAATAATTTTTGATTATTTTAGAACAACATGTCCTCAAACCTAAAATAATCTTCATAAGTTAAGACTTTATAAAACAGAATTTCCCCTCTTTTAAAAAAACACCCACTATAGATATAATAAAAGATAGACATTGATTATTTAAATTGATTAAATAAAACACTCACTATAAATGTAATAAAAGACAGACGCTGATTATTTAAATTGATTAAATAAAAACACGCACTATAAATGTAATAAAAGACAGACGTTGATTATTTAAATTGATTAAATAAAAACACGCACTATAAATATAAACGAAGACAGACGCTGATTATTTAAATTGATTAAATAAAACACTCACTATAAATGTAATAAAAGACAGACGTTGATTATTTAAATTGATTAAATAAAAACACGCTTTATAAATATAAACGAAGACAGACGCTGATTATTTAAATTGATTAAATAAAAACATGCACTATAAATGTAATAAAAGACAGATGTTGGTTATTCAAATGTTTTAATTATTAATATTGTATAATATGAGTTTTATGTAGATAAGTCTATTGAGATTAGCACATTATAAATTTGAAAAAAATTAATTACTTTTTGAATATAATTAATTATTAACAAGAAATTAAAACATCTGTAAAACTTAAAACATCTGTAAAACTTAAAATATCTGTAAAATTGTAAAGAATGAATTACAAGATAATTAGCATAATTTTCTTGTGCGCAATTAAAATATGTTTTTGCAATATTTGTAAGCCAAATTAAATTTACTCTTTGGTAGCTTAATCTTGCCTTTAGTGTTCAGATTCATGCAACACTTGCTTTAATACTAGCGAATCTGCATGTATTACTTGTGAGGATAATCTATTTAAGAGCTCTGATGATAGTTCTACTTGTGTACAAAAATGTTCAAAAAATGAATTTTTAAATGAAAATTTAGAATGTGTGAAATGCTAAGTCTATGGATGTGTTAAATGTGATACAAACTAAATTTGTGGTTAATGCGACTAAAATTTTAAGCTTGATGTAGCTAATAATCAATGCATTTTAATGAATAATGTTTGCCCTTTTTTAACATACTTTATTTATGGATAATCAAACCTTAAATAATGCAATTAAGAATGTCCATAAAGTTTTTATTAGAACATGGAAGCACAAATTTGCGAAGAAACTGTGAATTGTATTTAAATTGAAGAAAGCTAAAAACTTTCTTTCACTTAGAGGGTTACATAAATTTGGCCAATTAATGAGGATCAATATTTAGTTATAGGAAATGCTTGCACTTTTGCTCTAGTAGATAATAACTGGAAGGTGATTCATATATAAATGCTTTAAAATATAGAAGACAACCAAATATTAATTTCAAATGGAAATGAATTAACTTAAGAAAGTTTTGTTATTGGAAATTAAGGAGGATGTCTTGCAGGCAGCAAATTATTGGTGATAAATTTTTAAACATTTGAAGTAGTATTTGAGAGTAATACAAAATTTGATTATTATGTTGATTATATAGATTAAAAAAACTAAATTGTTTTTCTATATTCAGATTACTTGAATATTTTTTTATGGTATGACGCTATTAACAAGAGATTAAACTAATATCAGATAGACTATTTAAAAATTAATATAATGCTTTAAACTCAAAGGAATAATACCACAATTTATTTGATATAAAAAATTGACTTATCATTTTAAGTAAATTTCAAATATTATAGCTATTCTCGGATAAATATTTCTCGAATAGGAAATATTTTCTTAGTAGAACAATAAATATTATTTAATAAAATAATAAAAATATAAAAGAAATAAAAAAAAGGTTTGAAACAGGTTTCGAACCTGATAGAAGAAACAAATAAGTTTATTCAAACATTTAATTTTTTGATGAAGAAATCTAAATTTTTTTATCAAACATTTAATCTTAAATTAAATTTTTTTTTACATATGAAATGAATGAAAAAAATTTGAAAAAAATTTTTAACTCAAGATTAAATGTTATATAAAAAAATTTAGATTACTTCATCAAAAAATTAAATCTTTGATTAAGCATTTTTTATTTATTTTTTTTGTTTATTCAGGTTCGAAACCTATATCGATACCTTTTTTTAATTATTTTTAAATTTTCTTTTAATTTATAAAATAATATTTATTACTCTACTAAATATATATTCACTACTCGAAAAATAATTATTCAAGAATAGCAATATAATTAATTCATATTTACTTAATCAATTTTTTAAAAAAGATAGGAATTTTGGATGAATAAAGATAGTTTACATTAAAAAGTATTAACTAATTGAATTTGAAAAATTATTAAATTGTAGGTCTAAAATAATACAATGATTTCTTTATTTTAACTTCTATTACAAGGGGTATCAATTTTTCAGTTTTAAAAATAGATATTTAATAAGATTTAATAGCTTTAGTTTAAGTTATATAACAATTTAAATTTCCAGGATATAAATATACATAACTCTTGCCAACTTATTATTCGAATACTCTTAATTGTATTGTTTAAAAAAATTTTAAAAGTTTTTATTTAGAAATGCTCATTCTAAGCTAATAGTCTGATTAAATAATTTCAACGATAAATTTAACTTATTCATAAATAAATTAATTTCAAATTTTTGAAGATACCCTGTCAAACTCATCTATGGCTTTTATATTTTCTGACAATCTCTAAATAATGAATCTAACAAGTTATTTAATTTCTTATAATTAAGGTTAAGCTTAAAATTTCATAAATTATTTCAAACCTATTAATTAATCTTTTTTTACTAAAATATCAAAAATAACAAATTTAATAATTAATATGGATTAAAAAATAATGGATGTCTTCGTTACTCAAATTCTTTCAGAATAAAATTCAAATTAACAATAAATTAGATTAAGATATAATCTGACAGATTATACATTTAAGATTTAATACTTAAATCCTTATTAATTTGGTACATTTTATTATAATGATAACTCACTTTAAAATTAATTCCCAGATACTCATTTTGATAAAAGTAATGAGAATTAATTTTTTATTTATGATAGTCATCAATCATTTGTAAATTGTACAATAGAGTATTTAGCAATATAAGAATCTATATATAACTTTTAAAAAACTCCTGCAATTAATACTAAAAGTATTAATTTTATATAAAATGCTAACACTATTCAATAAACTTACAACTTTATCAGTTAAATAAGTAGTAAATATATTTTACTTGAATAATCTACAAGTTAGACTGTTTATGATTATATAATTGATATTGAATAATAAAAATAGATAATATCATATAATTATAGTTATAACTAATATAAACCAGGCACAATTTTTGTTTATCTTTAAAATAAAAATCTTTTATTGATTGAAAACATTCCATAAATCTTTAATCTTAATAATTCATAAGAGATAATTAGTAGTAATTAAACTCAATTTTTCTCTCTCTTAAGTTATATACTAATCAATGAAGACTACCTGGTTTATTAATCTTCAAACAATAAAAAAGAATTAATATTATATTTATTAGATTTAACTACTTTCTCATCTACCTAAATATTTAATTTTGCTAAAAATTAACTTATTTATTTTTGGACTATTGGTGTAAACTAAAAATATCCTGTTATATTTGATAATGATATTATCTACTTTTGTAATGTTATTTAATTTCTTATGTGCTAGCCTTTTTCTTTGAGAGCATAAAATTTTATAATGGAAGCTACTTAACTTTAACTTTTTCCTGGAAGTAACCCGGCGGCATATATTTATCAAAAAACAAAGGAAATTTTTTTATTTTATAATGGAATTATATTAGTAATTTCATAAGATTTGCAAATTCAGACAAAGCTAAATCTAGGAATTTAATTTCCTTCTAATTCAATTTCTTATTAATAAAATATTTTTTAAACTGAGAGATATGTATTTTATTATGATTCAACCAATCTTTATAAATTTGATATGGAGTTAAAAAAATTCTAAGTTTTAGAAGCTACATCATTAAAAATTAATAATCAATAGCCGATAATAAATTTTTACAAGTTAAATAGCACTTTTTATGTAAAATAAACAGGAAAAATAATTGACACTGAAAATATGATAACTTTAAACACATAATAAGAGAATTAAAGTAATTTCATAGGTTAAATTTATACAGATGATACATAGTTACACATATTCAAGTCAGTAAATGGTGTTTATTGGTATAAAAACTTATTAAATATACCTTTTTAAGTATTAAATTTAACTTCAAGTTAAATTCTTTAAGATCTTTATTTTGAAAAAGGATAAAATTTAATAGCATTATATGATAGTAGTTGCTAATGTGTTTAGATTTATGATATTATAAAAAACATCAAATTGGTCAGCTAATTAATGTTTAATGCTAAGTTCGATTTAAATATCAAGTTAGTTGATTGGAATAATCATATTTTTATATACGTGAGTGGTTCAACTATTTATCTTTATAATCAAAATAATAATATTATGAATGAATAAATTGGTTTACTAGATTCTAACATCATAGAATACTAATATTGTTTTGAACAATAGATTGTCGTTGCCATGACTTAGTAACAAAATCTATATATAATTAAAGTAATTTTAATTTTAAGATTTTATTATTTTAAATTTCAATTAAATTAATTAGATTTAAGAAAAAGTTTCATCAAAAGTAGTAATAAACTTTTAATTAACGAGTGGTTAGATTGCTTTATAACTTAAATATGTTTTGAAATGTACTGAAAACATATTAATAATTTATTCTCCTTATGTTTAAATTATTAATTTACTTACTGCAAAAGATTAAGAACAATTTTCATAGGTAATTAAAAAATAATTAATTTTATAAATAATACTTTATTTAAAATTTATTTTTTTATTAAATTAAATCTTAGTTTAATTAGCTATAACTCCTAAACTCTGCATAAAATATACCAATTATTAGTGTAAAAGAGTAGCTATTCATTTGTCTATATAATATTATAAATAACTATTTTTAAAGGAATGACTTTTAAGGAAACTTAGGATATTTTGATTATAGAGAAAATAATACAAATATATATTATGATTTATAGTATAACGCTTTGATAGGAGTAACTGGAGTTACAAAAACATTAATTATTATAGCTATTCCAGGTGATTATAATTTATTCACTTACTACACAATCAACTCATTTTTATAAGGAGCAACATACTATCTTGAGGATAAAACAAGTATAATATTAATTGATACTACTCCTATTATATACTTATGTAACTATGTAACAAGAAATATAACAACATTTAATACAATTGTTAAAGATACATAAGGTATTTAGATGGATTAAAATAAAAATATTGTTTTCTTATATTCATATTAATTTATTTCTGCTTTGAAGTTTCCAGAAATGTAACTTATAGAGATGTTTTCATTACAATAATATAATCAAGCAAATATCTTAGCTATCTACATAAATTAGCTTATTTAGGTGTTAATAGTTTAAACAAATACAGCTTTTATTGCTTTTGATCTTACAGAAGTACTATACTAATCAGAAATAAACTTATTATAGTATTAAAATGCTTAGAGTGTTTATTTAAATGAAGAATATTAAGTTTATTATAGTATTTCAAATCTCTCACTCAATCTATTTTATAAAGCAAAGCTTGTTGACTCATTACTATTCGAAATATCCCAGTAGAATATTTATCCATATTTAACTGAGCCTATATTAATATCAGAAAATCAATTCATATATATTACATTTAATTATTTAAATCTAATTTAAGTAAACCTTTAATATAACTCTTTAGAGCTAGTCTCTAGAATTTAATTGCAAAGAACGCCTGATAACTTCTTTTATGATTCAAGCTCAAATTAAATATTTTTGCTGTACAAGTCAAGCTTTTAATTAAATAGTTTAAATACCAAAATACTTAGTTAAGGTGAAATATTATTAACTAATTTTTAATAAGGTGATATATCAAATGCATTCATATGCAGTAATTATATTATCGTTCCAACTAATAACTATATATAAATATATAATATTAAATCTAACTAAATACAGAATATTTCTTTACCTAGTCAAGGTAAAATAAAATTAGCTTTTAAATTACATGTAAAGTAAATTAATTCACAAGAAAATAATTGGTGGAAAATTCCTTTTGAAGATAATAAAAGATTTAACACATAAGATTGGGCATAAGAGGGAAATTTAACAAAAGATGTTTTTATATTGCAAAAGTAGGATAATTCAAATACAATATTAATTTTAGATTTGCTTAAGATAGAGTTCACTTACAAAAAAAATATAGATAATTGGTAAATAATGAATGTTGTAAATGATCCTATTAAATAACTCATTTATATTGTTAGTAATGAGGCAACTACTAATATATTTAGCTATACTTTAGATTTTATTACTTCAATTAAAAATCCTTGCATGAAATAAGCAATTATTTCTTTCGATTAAAATTTTGTATATTCTATTTGCCCTAATGATATTATTGTTTACAATGGGATAAGCTTTGAACAATAATTTCCTTCATTAAATACAGGAATTACAGAAGCAAATAATTTAATAAATATGAATTATAATAACCATTTTATTATTATTTAAAAAAATAAATTATCCGTAATATAATTGAAATATAATGGCACCTATTCAAATATTTATGAGTACTAAATAAAAAACGCATTT